TATGGTTGCTTCTCCTCAAGTAGGTCAACATTCTTTAAGGAGCTGTTGTCCAAATCTGGTGACCTAGTTCCTAATCTGGTTTTAAATTTCATTTAAATTCAAGCTTGAAGTAACTGTCTCTGGGTATTTTATGGCAATTTCCTTCCTCTAGAACCTGGAAATTTGCTGTCCTCTTGGGGGTGTTATATTCATGGGGCAATTTTACTTATGAAACAAAGTTATGTATTCAGATTTACCCTCCCTCCCCCCAAAAAAGTTCAACACATCCTTTTCTGACGCTTAAACTGATGAGGTCTAGAGGCATCTTGAATTGTATTAAAACAAACAACCACTAGAAGAGTAATTTGAGAAAGAAAAGCAGTGTGTGAGCTAGAAATTATACTAGAACTTCACATTAATACCACCTATGGAAATGGCCCACCTCTTTGAATTATGTTTCTTTGGAATAGTGGAACTCTAGCACAAAGTGCAGCAGGCGTAAGCTGGGACACTCGGAGCAATGTTGTTAAATAAGCAAGAAAGCTGCCACTTGTTGCTGCCACTGCAGCTCTTTGTTGGCTGAATGATCATAAAAGCCCACAGATGTTCTTTAGTGTAATCCAAACAATGTTAGGAATAGATTTGTTGGCATATGATGGTGTGTTATTTCTGTGACTTCTAATGCTCTTCAATCCACCAAGGGGGTGTGTGTGTGTGTGTTTTTATCGTTTGAGGGCATTTATATGCATTGCAGCATGGTTATATGAAACTAGTGGAAAAAACATGCAACTTCTTCACTGGACTTCTGTAAACTAACGCTTAATTCAGTAAACTCATTTAATAGCTCTGTCCCACAGGTCCTTAAAACAGAAAGCGTTAAGTAATTTCCTAAAGATTAGACTTATTCTTAAGAAACTGAAGTTTCAAGTGGATGTTGAGATTCTGTACCAAATTAGCTAATTTCTGGATAACATTTTCCAGGATCAGCGAAATCTATGAATACTCTAAGCAATGACATTGCATATATCAAATCCAATACACTTTCTACATTTCAGTGAATGTACTTGGTAAGCAGTCACAGATTAAAAGGCCATGGCTTTTGTAAGGCTTTACTGTTGTCAGTGACACATCAGAAAATGTGATGCTGCATTAGCTGCCCAAACAGCTTGTTAAAATAGTGTCCTTCCATCTTAAATTATGCAAAACTTATTTGTAAATGTCCCATACATTTTTCTTGGGTTAGAGTTCCTACATTAGGTTTATCCTGATGAATGATACAAAACTTGATCTGATTTCTTACTTTAAGAAGAAACTGAAACTTTAATGAATATCTACCACTAAATAAATGTGAAATTATCTTTTTACTGCACACCTCTCAAAAGCAAAATAAGCCTTTGCTTAATTCAGTATCCTAAAGAATATTTTTAAAAAGTTAGTGAGGATTATTTTCTGAAAGACTTATTAATATTGTGATTGTTTTTAAAAAAAAAAAAAAAAAACCCTCTGAAGAGCCTTGAGCATACCTAAAGCTTTTGTCCAGAAACAGTAATTAAAACAGCTTCTGTATGTTTACACTTTTCTTCCTTTTTAATCTACCAGCTTCCCGGTTTAATCATAAAACAGCTTTGATATGGCAACAGATTGCCATTGGGTTAAAGCCTTACATCTTGCAGCTTCCACAAGTGCTGGAACCAATGAGGCGGAACTGCCGGGTAATGCTGGCAGTATTCCATCGTATGTGCAAAGACTAGACGATTATTGCAATGCATGTAGGCAGGATGAATGAGCTATTTTGTATTTCAAGAATGGTACTCTAAACTGTATCTTCTTGCATACATGCTTTTGGAAAAACCCTTTCTGAAGTAATTTCAAATTCAGCCACTGTACTAGTTCAGACTTAATAAATACTATACTACAGTCTTGCCCTTGACATGATAGTCTTCAGGACACTTTTTGTGCTTTTTTCCTTTTTTGAGGGGAAAAAAAAAAGTTAATGCAGGTCTCTGGTTTGGGTGTTTTTTACTTTGATTTAAAGGTATCTGAAATATCAGGAGTGTCTGCTGTCTGAGTGGTATGAGGGATGGGGAAGATAAAGATGAGGGAAAAAGTGGTTCCTTGAGCACTGTAGCCTCCTTTTAGTAGTGTTATGGAGAAGGATGTCCTCTAGAGGAGCTGTAGTGATTTGCAGTGATAATGTGAAAGGCATCTGCACCTAGCCTGAACCTGTTAATTGTTCAGTCAAAAGCCAGCTTTTATCCCACCGTGGATTCCTTTCTTAAATGAAATTGAACTTAACTTAAAAATACGGTGGAACTTCTTGGCTGCGTGTTGGTGCCCTCTGCCGATATGTTAACTTCAAATGCTTCTGAACAACAAACAAAAGACTGAACTTAGCGGACTAAGTCGAAACTCTTATTAGAGACTTGAAAGGGCAAGAACATATCATAGAAAGCATTAAGTAAATGGAAACAAGGGGAAAGAGAAATACGGTGTAACTGAGAAAAAGCATATAATGGAGAATCTTGGAATAGGGCCTAAAACAGGGAGGAAAAATACAACACTTGAAAGGTATTTCTAGTGACTTTTTTTTTAAACAACTTCCCCATCCCTCTGCAAAATAAGAAAAATATGTGATCTGACTACTAGTGGGTATGAAAAAGCTTTAAGAAGCTATTATGGAACTGCTAGCAGAACAGTTGTGTAGGACCTTAATGCATTTTTAAACACTTCCCTTCCCTTTTGTATGCAATCTAAAGCACTATGAAAATTGTTCTGTACTTGTGAAATGAGCCTTTGTTATCTATATAAGCATACTTTTTCCATCTTGTGTGTGGGTTTTTTTTATTTTTATTATCCATGTGGATGGATCTGTTCATCCTACTAATGATATACAGCCTAGGGATTGACTGAGGACAGTGCCCATTAAAGACACTGTATTGTGGTTTGGTTTTTTTCGTCAATCTTTTAGGCTGAATGTCAAGAAATACTTGCCTGCCTGGTGTGGGTTGTGCTTACTTTGTAGGTTGTGTAGGTTGTGCCTTAGCAGGTAGGAACTAAGATATTGCAGGTTTCCCTGAGTGTTGAAACAGAGGGTATAACCTGTACTTATTAGAATACCTTGTATTAAGCTATTACTGATAGCAATAGCTTGTTCCTATTAATAGCAGGTATCCATACAGCACAGTTATTCTTGCACACGCTCACTCTCAGTTGCTGGGTTGTGGCAACAGCTGGAAGGCCCACCTCAGCTGTTCACTCAGAAGCTGAGGGTTGTACTGATGCACGGATGGCTTCTAGGTAGGTGTTCAGGAAGTCCCTCAGGGGCCTGTCTTTTTAATCGGGTATGTATAAAATCCCGTGGCCTTTGTCTGCTTATATAGCAGCCACTACCTTCTTGGATGTGCTCTGAACTATACCATCTGTGTTGTTGGTAGTGTGTGCTGGTGGCCTCACACAGATTCAGCAGAGTCTTGGTGTTCTGAGTTTAGCCCTGCTGAAGCCACAAGAGCTGATACAGTCTTGAGCTTATCAGTTCTTGGGGGCCTTTCACATGTTACCTCTCAGCGTATACTTTTCCCTCTCTCCAGTTTGCTGTTTTCTGGTAGCTATGTATTCAGCCACGTGCATAGGTATCTATAGAGCCTGTTCGTGCATGGTTGCACAGAAGGGGATTTTATCACAGAGGCGTTTGCTTGTTTCTGAAATAACAGGAAAAAGTTCTAGTAACTGAAAAGATAGTTTATCTTTGAAAACTGTATCATGTCTTACAAACATTGACTGTTTCTAATTGTAAAACCATGCTTCATAGTCAGAAACCCTGACAGCACTGGAATTTGAGTGACTGTACACTTTTCAGACAGCTTACAGTTGTTAGATCATGCTACTTCTGTCTGGCCAAAGCCAGAAGCTTGCTTTCTGTGCACAAATGAATTCAGTCCACCTGAGAAGAAAATGTCTTTTAAAATAAAGCAAAATCTTCTAGTGAAGAGTAAATTTGGGATTTTCTTTCCAGAGGACTGAAGTGTTACAGCTGTGAAAGTACAAGGCTAGCTAGTTAGCGCTACACAAAAACAGCTTCCAATAAAGTGCTCCATGAAGTAATCCTGAAGCATGGGCAGCTTATGTAGGTCTTCACAGGGAGATCTAGTGCTCCGTATGCTCAGAGGTCAATATGTAAGCATCCCACGAAACAGCCTACAGAGTGCATAACGCTTAATCCCTGTACCTATTATTCATAAGTTTCTGGATAGTAACTTTCTGATGTTCGGGATTAATGTACTGCTTTTATTTTCAAAGCATTCATAATATGCTCTGTGGGAGCTTTTGGTCCAAGTCAAAACAGTGCAGCTATGCATCTAGACAAATGGTTGCTGATGTGACCTTGTAATGGTTGGTTTTCTAAGAAATAATTGAGCAGTGCAGTCATCAGCCTGTTTGAGTATAATTGCTTTAGGGACTGGCAAAGGATATCTGCTAAATTGAAGCTGTGTGTAGTTTTCTAGTCTGTGTCATGAAAACTAAAGACCATTAATAAAGCTTGTGGAAAATGCTAGCGGAAATAGTGAGTTTACTTTTTTTTTAATAAATCTGTATGCTGCACAGCAACTTCCTGCTGTTTCCTTTTCAGTCTCCAAATAGCTCCATGATAAGATACACTAAAACAACCCCCAAACAAGTCTTTAAGAGCTGCTGCATGCTACCAACATACATTTGAGAAAGTGTCCAATATTACTAAATGAACTTTGATATCAAACACAGTTAAGTGGCTTAGTTGGAGGTGAAATTGAATGCTAAGAATGAATATATTAACATCAAAACACATATAATAAAGACTGCTTCATTTCAAGTTAGGTTTTTTTTTTTTTTAAGTATGAGGGAGAAGTGAGTAGCATATCACGCATTTGCTGAGCACTGAATCTTTATGTTGGTGAACTCCGTTTAAACAAATGTAAATGGATTTGAATATCACTGTTTATATGCTTCTAATTAAAAATAACAGAACAATGCTCCTCTCCTTTCAGAAACTTTTTCACTAAAAGGACGAAGGAACTCAAACCTGCTGTCCAAAGTGCTCCTGGCTGGAAGTTGTTTGGAAAAGTCCCACCCAGGGAAAATCTTCAGAAAGATTCCAAAATAATTCAGCAGGTGAGTAAACATCACACAATTTTAGGTATAAAACTTATAAAAGTGAATGCATAGATATTGCAATTCTCTGTAGTTATCTCTAAGTCTCTCCTATACAGCCATAGTGCTCTGGGAGGGCTCTTTAGGTCTTTGTTGCAAGAATGATAGCTACTGAGAAAAGGGAGTTTGAACTGTATGATTGTCTAGTACGGCCTTCAGTACATCTTGGTGCTTATTTAAAAAAAAAAGTTGATAGTTGTTCAAAAAGTGTTTAAACTGTTTAGATCAAAAAGCTAAAACTTGTATTAATTTTCCATAAAGCATTACCTTATTTGAACATGATATGATAGGATTTTTGGTGTAAAGTGATTGTGAAATTGTAAAGTGATTGACTTCCATTATGAGGCTCAGTCTGGAGTTGCTCTTGCCTGCTTTGTGTAATAAAACCATATTTGTACTTTTCTGTATGATTTTTCTTCAGAAAACATTTATCCTCCTAAAGCATTCTTTTATATTGTAGTCTCATAAAACTGTTGCTTGTCTGTGTTGTGGTGGTGGTGTTGCTTGTTTTTTCTTTAGAGCCAACTCATCTTCCCAAAATCCTTGCTTTTTGGCCTGTAAAACTTACGAGTAATTAGTGACAACTTGCTAAGAATTATGAAATGTAATCCTGTTTCATGTAGGCTTTTGGTCCGATTTCAGGTATCTTTGTTTGAAAATACTTACTATAAGTTGAACTTGCTTTTCGAGTTACTGGCGTACCACAGAAAAGTAATTCTGATTTCCTTCACCCAGTACTCAGTTGTACTATTGTAATAATTTTGTAAGTTCATTCCTGTGGAATATGTCTTTAATTTGCCACAGTATCGTTAATAAAGCTGCATGGCCTTTCAAGATGAGTAATTGGTAATGTATCATTAACTGAATTTTAACATACAATCATGAAGTTGAAACACATGTTGACATAGGAAACTTGTATGCTGCTTGTGCTGATGAAAGCAGTAAGTCCTTGAGTCCCTTGAGAGTTGCTTTCTCTTTGTGTCTCCTTTCTTAACAATTCCACGTTAGCTGATCTGTCTGGCAGGTGCAAAAGGCTATGGATGAAGCTGTATTCAGTTATCTTCTAGAAAGAGCTTCATGGCGAAGAGGGCCTTTTGGGAGCTACTAAAGTGAAAAATGTTCCTTTTGATGGGCTTTCGGGTAATGGGACATGTCATAAATTGAAGTGTTGTAGAAAAGTAAGAAATAATTATGTGAGATTGCAGCAAGTGCTATTTACTCTGAAGTAAACCGATGTTTTTTTTCCAATATGCTTTCCCATACAATTTTCCTTTATTTAAATGTCTTTGCCTTTGGGGGAGGGGGGAAGAGTTCTTAGTTTACTTGCTGATGAATGCTGTTGGCTTTGTGCTGTGAAAACTGCTAGGAATCCAGACTTCTCTTCTATCCTGAGAAATGGGGTGTATGCATAACACTTGGCAGTTATCTGCTTCCCTTTTTTCTAGTAATGAAGGTATTTGTTCCAGAGACAAATCATAATCTACAAAAATAGTCTATTGTTCTTGTCTCTTAGTGACTATTTTTCTTAACCTCTAAGCGGCAGAAAAGAGAATATATTAAAACAGCGTATTGTCTTTAAACATGGTTGAACTTGTCCTAGCCACTAGTCATGTGGCCTGTGCTATGCTGGATATCAGATCAGGGTCACTTCTGTGTTTATATAATCTGAGTAATGTATGGGTTATAGTTAATAATTTTAGCTTCTAATTTAGATAAAGCATACATGACCACCTGCTTTAAGCTCTTCAGTTATCAAAGGGGGGTTCAAATTGACTACGTACTCTGAACAGAATCTGAGAATATTTGACAGAATCTGAGAATATTTGTGTGTGGCTTCCCCCCTCCCCCCCCCCCCTTAAATTGGGAGAGGTGACCCTAACATCTCCTAATTTGTTTGGAGATGTCTTCTTTCATATGTATTTAAAATTTATAATACAGTTCCTTGTGCATATGTCCTTTTAAAGAAAAGTGAGTAGTTTCTTTTCTTGAAAATGTTCAAACTTGCTAATCTGGCAATGGGTTAGAATGAATTAAGGCAGGTTTCATTATTGCAAATCAGTGGAAAATTGTATCCCCACTTTAGAATGGCTGACCAAGGTCTCTTGAGTAAAATTCCTCACTGCGCAGGAGATTCAACTAAAGCAAATATATGCAAGATTGCAATTGTAAGGCCTTGAAGAAATTAATACAAATATGGTGGAGGCTCATAACTTCTATTCACAACTACTTCTGTGAACCTGACAGAATAAACTGTATTCTACACAGAATATCTCTACGGGCTTCCACCTTGCCTTTGTAAACCTGAAGTCAAGTTAGCAAGTATGATCTGAAGTAAGATGACCAAAATTGTATGCCTTTTTTTTCCCCCCCCTATCTGCGGTCAGAATGATGGCTACTGGCTGATCACCAGCTTGTGTCAAATGAGGTTTTGAGTTTAAGGCTGCTCAGGTAGAGTGATCTTAAACTGTGGACAAGCCACCTGTGAAGGCATTGACAACAGTTTATCCTAAGCAACAAATGCTCCTGAACAGTTATTGCATTTCCATGGTTGTGCACAAAGTTCTGTGACGTTACTGATGCTAATGGCCAGCTTCAGGAGTGTGCAAATAAACTCCTGATTAGAGACACTCGCTACTGAGTCAACATCATTGGGATAAAGGATGAAGTCTTGTAAGAAGCCCTTTTGCAGGAAGACTAAGTCATGACAGGAAAAACTCAATAATAATAGGAGAAGTCCCTTGGTTAAGGGTAATGCTTAATAATAGGAGAAGTCCCTTGGTTAAGGGTCAAAGCTTTCTGGCACTATTGCAAAGTTTAAAGGGCTTCCGTATTAGCAGATTAGCAAAAAATACATACCCTCCTCTATGAGTAGATTCATACAGTTAGAGGGATGGTAGAGTTTGCATGCTGTGTTAAGATTAAGTTAATCTAAAGTTTTTGGGTTTGCTGTGTGATATTTTGGAATCAGTATATTGTTATTACTTTAACACACATGCTGCTCAGGCTTCTTGCAAAAAAACAGTTTTTAGAAGAAAAAATGTTCTGTGACATCCCCTCTGGAGGGGAGGGCTACAGAGGGCAGGTAAGACAGGGCCAGTGTAACCTGAATCTAGATATTTTAGTTTTGTGAATAACTCTGCATTCATTTGCCTCTGATTATAGAGGCACAGGCTCCTCAGTTTACATGCTTTTTGTGTTGTCCTCCTTAATGGATTAAGCTCGCTAGCCTACCTCCTCCAGCTCATGCAGCATCACTTCTGTCGGTCAGAGTTGTATGGCAGTGGTTTGTCATAGGGGAGACGGTCCCACTTGGCAGTCCAGTATAAACCCCGTGAACTATAGCCTGTGGAAGATGCTACAGAAGTGCAATCTAGTATTGATTTTTGTGTTGCCTTCAGGCAAACTCAAATTCCTTTTGTGGTAGGAAACTATTTGTCCAAGACTAGATTTCTGTTTAAAGCTGAACCCTGTGTTTAAAAATATTTTTTTTAAGCATCAGAATTCTCCAGATTTTGGAAGTGTTAAACTTGAATATTTTGCTCAGTGCTACCACTTAGTAAGTGATGTTCCTCTTTAAGTAACATGAGTCTTAAATTTCCATATTTCCATTCTTGTTCTTGCAGGCTTTTGTTATCTCTCCGTTTTGGTGAGGATGACGTAGCAAATCAATATCATTTAAATGAAAATAAATATTTGTGGATCCTAGTCAGCTGCTCTGTCAACTAGACAGTGCTGTATTTGCCTGACTAGCAGTCAGGTAGTAATTCTAGTATCTTAAATACTTTCTGGAAAATCTGGAAATTTAATTTGGGATACTGCTTCAGATACTTCTCAGACAATGACACTAGCAGGTCCTGCCTTAAGAGAATGTCTAATGAATATTACCTTATACTATTTCTCTGCAAGCTTCTAAGCATATATGGAAGAAGACGAACTCTTTTTGTCATAAAGCAGCCTGCAGGGACTGCCCATTTAGAAGACGGTAGTCTGCTTTGCAGCTGCGCTGCTGTTGGTGTGCATTGGGTGAGATGCTCTAGTTCGAACTGGGTCAGAGGCTGCAAGTCCTTGGCAGCTGCGTCTCCCAGCTTACAGCTGCTGGCGCGCTCAGCTCTCGTTGGATTTAGAGCTGCCCAAGCAGGATGTGATCGAGGCCAACTTTTGCTGGACATGTTCCTCCTCTGGGCTTCCTTCCTTCACTGTTTTTAAAAAAGGGAAAATAGCAACTCTTTAGGATTTCAAATGTCAAACGCACTTGATGGTTTCAGGAAGTGTCTTTTTTTCCACGAACTGCAACTAATAAAGCTGGCTCTTAAAAGTATGGTCTCATTAATGCTGTCTGGTAAATTCAGCAGCCTAAGCAGTTTTATGTGCAGACTGAAAAGTGTTTTAATACAGAATCATTTAAAGCTGAAACTGATTTGTAGGATTGTGTGTAATACTTTGGTATGTATTCATTAAAGTGCAAGATATGTCTTAAGATGGAAACTCCATTTCATCTTTGTGCTTACAGTTAAACAAAAGAAGTTTTAATGACTGCATGTTCAGACTTATTTTGATCACAGATTAGGTTCAGCTCTTGCTTTTATTAAAGCAGATTTGAATATTTTTCTTAACTTTTTAAAAAAAGCATGAAGATCTTCTTTTCTAAAATATACCCAAATTAAAGTGAGTTTGGTAAATATCTCATTTTTGTCTTGCAAATGTGTATGTCAACGTTTGAGTTTACTTCAACTACTGTTATAACTGAGTACTGTCAGTGGCAGCTGAGAGTATATAAGCATGAAAAGCTGTTCTCCTCTTCCCATTCTTATATGAATATAAGAGGGAGGGGATAGCTCTTTCACCTTTAAATCTGATACATCATGAAAAGCTTGCAATAATTTAAAATTTCTTATTCAGAAGTGGAGTAAAACCTTTTTTCCAAAAACTCTTACCTTGTCTGCAGAATGGAAGGTATTAGAGAGCTGGTTAAATAGTAACTGTGGGTTAGATGATTAGGTCACCGTCCTCCAGCTAACCTCTGAAAACACTCTTTTTGGACTCTTATGAAATCTTGAAAAAGATGCTATACCAGAGGGCTAATGAACTCTCAAAGTGTTTTCAATTGCATACTTTCCTATGCCATTATCTCTGATCTGAAATCTAATGGCGAAATGGCATTCACTGGATCGGCAGAACTCCTATGGTCTGCCAGGGACAGGAGATGTCTGAGGCTCCTCTGTGGAGGAACAGACGCGTTTTGAATCAGTTCTCATTCAGTTCGGATCTTCCAACTTGCAATATTAACTCTTCCCTCAAATCTTGTGATTTTGGCTTAACTGTATACAAAGCTCTTCCTTAGTGCTTAGAAAATGTGTATGACCCGATTGTCGGCAAATGTGAGCACTGAATATCTTTGAAAGAGATGAGTAAATACAATGCTGGAAGTCTTTTCTTTCTTGTTTCTTTTTTTTCTTTTTAAATGAAAGAATGGCTGTCAAGCAGATTCTTGTCTAGATGGAGGTCACATTGGCTCATCTTACGCAGTCCTACTGGAGAGGAGAGACGTGAATTCTGCCGGCTCACCACATACAGGTGGAAACACGCTGGTAGCAGACTCCTATGAAATCAGGACAGACAAATCTGGATATTAGATCTTGGAAGGAATATGTAACATTTGAAAAACAGTTTTTCTACTAGTAGCATTGAGAAGGCTGTGATTCTTTTATTTTTTGCAGATATGGTAGCTATCAGATCCTCTAGAAATTTCTACAGTCCTTCCTGTGGAAGCTGGAATGTGCAGTCATGTATCTAGTCAGTAAAGTTATGCTACAGGTGGAAAGAAAGCATTATGTTTAAAACTATTTCAAAGACACTTCCCAGCATTTTAGGCTTTTGCAATTATTATCTTGTTTCTAAAATGGTAATGAAGCTGGTAGGACCTCAGTGGGAGAAATGCTTCTTCCTCTGTCTGCATAAAGGACCTGAAAATATGGTGATGTGATAGCCTGTCTGGATACAGATTTTGCTATATCAATTCCAAGAGAATTAGATTTAGCAAAAAGATTGCTTTCCATGTGGTGAAAATGCTACCTTTTATGTAGTCTGTGTGTGTGGTTCTCTCCCCTGCCCCCCAACTCAAGAGTCGTGTTAATGCTAAATCTGAAGATAGAGCTTATCAGCTTCCTGAGGCTGTCATGGTACTTCAGTACGGAAGAGAAAATAGTATGGCAAGGAAGAAGGTATTTAAGAAGTTTTTTTTTTTTTTTTTTTCCCCCCAGTCTTGGGAATGTATGGTACAAGAAATTCACAGATATGTTCAGAAATACCATGGAAATCATAATAAAGGGCTTGCTTTCACTTACTCCTTCCTTGTGCTGTTATATAATGCTTAAAATATTAAGCATTAAAAATCTCTAATCCAATCTAAAATCTCTAGTATAATGTTTAAAATGGCTTTTTCTTTGGAACCCTTAAGGTTGACTTTTGCATTAGAAAATCAGGTTTTATCTAGAGTGGAAGCCTAGAGAGCTCTGGCTCTACAGGTTCTGCTGTAGTAGGGCTTGTTCTTGCCTGATCTCCTTGTTCAGATATGATGGGGATGAATTTCAAATTGCTATTTAGAATCTTATATCTGTCACTTTGAAGTGACTATTTCAGAGCCTTACAAATATATCTTAGTTCTTGCAGCTCACCAATGAGGTTGAAGTGTGATATGCTCTTGAGCTTTCAATTTAGAAACACCAATTATAACAGGGGGAAGGCAGGATGGGACTTAAAGACCCACTCTGAGTGCTATTTAATGCAGACTTCTATTCTCTCATGTTAAATAAAGAAAAAAACAAAACAGTTAAACAGAACTTCCACATTAAGTTTAGTGTTTGTTTTCCTGCCAAATGCTATCCAAGCTCAGTCTTGCGCTGTGTGTGTGTGTGTGTGTGTTTTTCCCCTCCCCTTTCACTACAGTGTAAATGTGTCTAGTTTTGAGTATTCATTTTCAACTTTAAAGCTAACTAGTTTTTAGATGAAGATATAGTTGGGAGTGAAATGCATTCTACAGTAAGTTAAATGAAAGCAAGACGCTCATGGTTCATTTTCAGAGCAAACGGGACTTCTGGAATGTCTGTATAGAGACAATGTTTTGTTCTTTCCTGTTCATAGTGAATCTTCCAAGGCAGTGTAAGTGAAATAAGTGTAACTATGTTTTGGGTGGTGTGGACTAGAGAAAGACACTTCAGTGAGTTTATTTTGCCATTCACTTGACAAAAGTGCTGTGATTGAAGAGGAAAAGGTCTGCCTTTGGGCACAGGTGTTGATTATAGAAAAGAATACAAAGTTTCAATTAAAATGAAGAAATAATCTAATAGGAGTCTATACATAAGTTGTACATGTATGAAGTCTTTGCCTTTTTGTATGTTTTGAGGGCTGGAGAAGGAAGAACAGCCACATATTTCAAACATTGAGTAAAAATATTCTACATGTAAATTTAAATTTGGCTTGCATGTTGCTATATTTTAATGGTCTTTTTCTTCACTTATTCACTAAGGCTTTGCTTCTGTTTTTCTCATTAGGATGACAGTTCTGGCAGTCTTGCGTCAATATCTGCTCTCAGTCTATTAAACACAGGGGTATGGAATTTAATATTTTTTTCTAGTTGCATTAATGCCATGCATGGGACTGTATAGCACTCATTAAAAATAGAACAACATCACATTTCCACAGTAGCATGAATATTTTATGGCACTAACCATCAACTCATTAGATACCATTAGTTTAAAAAAGAAAAAACCTCACACATGAATCTCACTAACAACTTGAAAAGTGATAGAGTATTATTGTTGTTTAATAGTTTGTTCTTGAATAGCACGAGATAGAAAGTAAATTTCTGTCAAGTTCTAGTGTTACCCGTGTTTGCAGTGCCTCTTTGCTTAATGATAAAAGCTGTTAAAATGGTTTAATTTGTAATATTTTTGAACACCTTGTTGGCCTGGAAAATTGATATTCTAGAATCTTTTCTTCCCTGTTACTAAGTCGTGCAAGCTGTTAACGGTGGTGCTTCAGAGTTACGGATGCTTTTAACCACACTTTCAAATTATGAAAGTGGAAACCTAGAAAAGTATAATTATTGAAACTTTCTTGTTATATGCTGTTATACCTCCTTTATGGTATGAAATTGGTCCAGCACCCATGCTTGTTACTTTGAAAATTCTTTAAGTAATCCCATACGCTTTGTTAGACAGGAGTAGTGCAACTTTGCTTTTTAGTCTTGTAGAACTGTTGCTCTAGTTTCATGAAATAAAGTGGTATAGGTAACTGTTAGTTGATATGTGATGCCTGTTGTTCATGTTACGGAGTACAATCGCTCTTCTCTCTTCTATGCTGCGTCAAGAAGCCCATAGCTTCATATTTTCTTGTGTGTAACAAGAGATGAAACTTGGCACTCCTTGTGAGAAATCCAATTGAAGCGGGAGAAAAAAATGAATTGACAGCTGAAGTGGCAGATAGTACTTTGAAAGCTGGGAGGTTGACCTAGAAACCTCCTCAGTGTCTATTTGGGATTTGATTTTTTTTTTTTTTTTTTTTTTTTTTTTCTGATTCCCAGAATTTTTCAGTAAAGTCTGTTCTTGCTATAAGCATCTTCTTGCTTTAACCACCTTGTGGCCAGTGCTAGTTCAGTGATTTTTAACAAGATTTAACTCTTGGGGTTTTTCTTTGGGGGGGTGGGGGGGAAGTCCGTAGGCATTAGCAGAAATTCTTTTGGAGACATTACTTGAATTTATTAGCTTAAGTGACATAGGAAGGCAGCCTCCTGGAGACTCTATTGATGCTTCCATTCTTGGGCAGTGTTACTGTGCTTGAATTGAAGGGAAATAATCTTTGTGGTGATAGCTTTAATAAGCTGTGCAACACTGTGAGATTAATTGCAAGGATGTTTTTAGAGGTCCATCTGCTGTGCAGAGGTGTGTGTATGTAGAGGGGAGAGATTTTAAAACTTTAGCAGAATGTGTGCCAATCCCTTTTGTTTCCTCAATAGAAGTCACAACGAACTGAATGAATAAACTTGTTTCAGTGTCAGGATTAGAATTTGGGGCGGGGAAATGAACAGCATTAAAAGAAATTGTAGTGCACGGGATCAGTGCTTTGTTTAATTGGGTTATTAATGTGGCTTGATATCTACTTTAAAGAGAGACAATGCTTAATAGAATAAAAGTTCTTCCGTGCTGTTGCCTATCCTTGTCAGTTTTTCTCTAGCACGCTTAAAACGTAATTGGATCTGTGCTACTTAATTGATACAATTGGTACTTGTCGGCCTCTTGGGAGTTTGTCTGTAATCCAAGGATTCTTGTCGCTCACTTCTAGGAGTTCGACTTTTGTGGTTTCGTCCTAGCTAGATCAAAACTTAACAAGATGCATGTTAACTTTATATTATTTATTGTTAGCATTGTCAAATTTACTGGTTTTCCTTTAAAGCTGTATAGTTTTTGGCACTGAGGATGCAAGTTTGTCTTCTAAAATTGAATAATTTTATCCACATCTAGTAAAGTACTTTGTCCGACTCGTGTACCCTACTTTACTTAGGGTCAGCCAATGCTTGTGAACTGCCTTAATGCGGCTGTTCTTCTTTTATGCAAGTTTGCTTAGGCACTGGAAGAAGTAGCTGTGGGCCGTCAGGCATACGTTACACAGCGCAGTCCAGGACTGCTTAGAGATACATAAATGAGCTCAGAATGGTCTAGCTGGCATGCGTGATTCTTCTGAGGCAGGATGAGCAACTTCAGTTTTGAATATTTTCTGTAGTTATCAAAGGTGCATGCACAAAGGAACTGTGCAGGTGTACTTTTTTTTTTTCCTTCTTATTAAAACATCTACTTCCTTTAAAGAAAGAAATAAAAGACCCAAATTGGGATATCTTTATCTTAAGCCCAAAGGCAGTTTGAGTGAAAGGCTTTTTTTTCCCCCTACTCCAAGCGCTCACCTGTCTATAGGGTAATAGTCTTATCTCTATTTTCTTTCTAAGAATTGAAAGTAGAAATGCCCATCCCTTCACATATCAGCTACTGATGCCAGTTTTCAAAGTGATCTTACAAATATGGTTACTGTGTTTTTCAGGAAAAAGTGTTTAATCTGTTTACAGGTTTGTTTTTGGCAGTAGGTAAAAGAATCTAGTATCATCCTTGAATAAAATGATTGTTCTTACTTTCTATTAAAGTTTTCTATTAAAACTGAGATTTGGTTCTTACCTAGTTTGGTTCTGTGACATATTCAGTAGTTTTTAATAAATACTAAATATGCTGCAATAAAGAATTAAAGAGCACTTTTTTTTTTTTAAGAACAATATTCCCTAAACTACTGAAACCATGCATGTGACTCTTCCAAAGTTGTTGTGGTGTGTGTGTGTGTTCGTTTTTTACTTAAAGCAATAAAAGTTTAAGGTAATGTTATACATGATCTACCAATAGCAGTTTTTGTGGTGTCGTTTCTAGACTTTCAGAACATATGTTTTCTGAAAATCTTACTTGGGTCTATGAGTGAACTAGGATATACATTACAAACCTTTAATGTAGAATAATTTAAGGCTTCAATTTCTGAAGTACAATGCTAATATGTTAATTCACACCTATTTTCTGTTCTTCTTGGAAAAAATTTTTACTTGCTCTTGTTGAGGGAGTTGCCTTTATATTTTTTTTTTAAACTTCTTTCATGAAAAGATGTGCTGCTTTTTTTTTTTTCCTTAGTGTCTGGGAACAGAGCTGTATTGTGGTACAAACTTGTATTATTTTATACTAAACTGTAAGTATTTGTGGTTAGTGCTAAAAGTAGTAAAACCTCTGATCTTGTGCGTCTGCCCTGGTAGAGGTTCACAATAAAACTGGTAGTCACCATTTAAATGAAGATTCAAGTTCTCTACAGTAAGAGTAGTCACCATAATTTCTAATTTTATTTCATGATACTCGGAAGAGTAGAGCATGTATCACTAGAAAATTTGGTCTATGACCTCTTGACTCTGCATGTGAAAAAATGATCTCTGTCCAGACATGGGTAGTTACAGATAAAATCTATTGACTTAACTACAGGCAAGAAACTAAACTCAGCTTGAGTGAGCGGTGGGCCTTCCTTTGCTTGTAGGAGGACTGCCTTTCACAACTGAACTCAGCAGAACAGATGAGTCAAAAATCAGCTGTTCTTCAACAGGTCTTGCAGAGTCTGCATCTTAGCTGTCAGCTGCCCTATCTGGTGGGATATGCCCTGCATCTTCAGTGCTGGTCGAGTGCTTTAAACTGTATCTTTACCTCTTACAGATGAGTATTACCTCATATCTGGTGAAATGAAATTCTGTCAGCTCAAATTTTCATTCAGTGTACAATGTACTGTTTCATTCAGTACACTTCATCAAATGCATAGTAAGGTTATTGGAATCCTTGAGTGCAGTAACACAAAATATGTGAGGAAATACACCGGAAAGTGATGGGTATTTTAGTTGCCCAAATTCTTGGGATCCATGCATGCTTGATGGTTTCTTGGATCTAATCTTCAAATAACTTCCAGAGCACAGGCGGCTTTGGCAAGAAGCATCTCCTATAGGAAAGATACTCTAATGTATTTTTGCATCTTGGGGAAATATGCAGCCGTGACAACTTCTGAACCTGAAGCTATTTTGGTCTTTCCTTTGACTCTTTCTAGTACTGCTCATAGGCTTCACTCTGTATGTGTCTGCGCTTTGCTTTTTTTGGGGGGGAGGGGGAGGGAGAGAGAAAACTTTAAGCCACATTAGTGTTGTGCAAAGACTTCGACTGTCCTTACTTTGAAAATCTGAGGCTGTGCCTTTGCCCTTGTAAGACTTGTTATCCCATTTAACTTTATAGATTTCAACTTGTGTAATCAGCTTTATTAAGCTGTATGCTAACTTCAGAATTGTCAGTTATGTTTCCATAATGCTATCAAATAACCCTGAATATGTATCGCCCTCTGCTTCTTCCTGGGAGAACTAATGTGTATAAGAAAGTGTTGTTTATTAGGTGTGAGATTCATTTGGGAGGAGTTTCTAGAGAAGACTGTTGAATTTGTTCAGGAGGCTACAATGACCTAATTAGTTAGTAATTGATTACTTCTTGGTTTTGGTGTCTTAACCAACGTGAGATATTTTGGTTAATATGAGATGGAATTTGTTTTACAGTTGATAAAGCAACAGATATACAAGAATAAGCAGTCCTTAAGTAGTAATCGGGGGGGAAAAAAAAATTTAGACTCTGACTGTGCTTAAGAGTAAGAACAGAGTGTTGGATGAAAGTACATTATTAAAGTACCTTGAATTTGCTCCCTTAAAGATGACTTTTCAGTTCTTAATATGCTGCGTTTGAATTCCAGCATGTGAAAGAGAATTGTAGAAAAATTAGTGCTTAATCTTTGAGTAAGGAGAATATTAACCCACAAGCAAACTTGGATTGGGAATAGGTTGCGTATTTTCTCTCAGATAACCTTTTTTTAAACTTGCTAAACTGTAAGAATGGGTTTTCCAGTAATTTGGTGGTAGACAAAGGCCAAATAAAAGAGAACGCTTAAGATCTGAGGTTTTCATCTGGCTCTGTCCAGCCTTTTTCTTAAAGACTTTCTCCTATTTCTGTTTTATTGACCTACTCAGTGGAAAAAGGAAAGATATTCTTTCTTCTGCAGTATCTTCTCTGTATTAAGGGCTCTTAAGTGTTTCTTTCCAAATAGACTGCATGTGAGAATCCAGTGAGGCAAAACAGATTGGTCATAATAGATGTATGTGTATACACACACACACACGTATGTATGTATGTATACATATATATACACATATACTGCCACTGAGTACAGTGTAGGTATTCCAGATGACAAAGATTTGGTGGCCTTGCTAAAGGCTTCAGAAACACAAAACACATGAAAAACGTGTGATTGGTGGTTTTTTCCTTAACTTTACAGGTGATTACTCAAATATAACTGCTCAGTAATTAATATTGGAAGTATACTTATGCAGATTTCTTAAATGTAACTGATTCTTGAGTGCTAAGTATTAATATTGAACTGTAACAGATAGGATTAAGCTGATAAATTAAACTTTCTCATTCATCTTCATTTAACAATCCTGAAAAGCTGTATCGTCTTGCTATATTTCAACTTGAAATGCTAGCTCCGTCCTGTCTTAATTTAATATTACATATTTACAAATTACTTAGTAAGTGCTAAAGAATTTTCTTCCCTAATTAGAAGGGAAGCTGAAAGTTGAAATTTCATTTTTATTAATCTTGTTTAGGAATATGAAGCGCGTACAGGAAGAATGTATAAACCTCCTCCCTCATCAACAAGACGTAAAAATATTGAGTTTGAACCGCTTTCAACTACTGCTCTGATTTTGGAGGATCGACCAGCGTAAGTATAATTCTGCTGTGGAGTAGGTGATGACTGTGAATTTATTTGTTAGATTATGCTTATGATGAGTTACTTTTGTGTAAGAAGCTTGAAGATTATCATTTGATTATTCTACCCCAATTGATAGTCCAAAAAATACCTCCAGAAGGATCTGCAATTATTAGTCTGTATAATAAATTCCTTCTTTAATGGAGCCCACTGGCTGCCTGTGATAGTGTCATAGGCACCCTTAATCAGGAAAATTCTCTGAAGGCTTTTATGGATTTCTTCCCTGTCCTTTCCCTGCTGTCTGAGTGTGCGCTTCCCTCTCCTTCCCCCAGTTCTGAAAACTTAAGGCTTCCCTACTGGTCTAGGAAATCTAATCACTAACAGTTGTTCTGTCAGCAAACTTGGAGAGTGCTCTACCAGAAGAGTCTTCCTTAGTAGGTAAGTAACAGTAGTAACAGTAGAGTGGGAGGAATAGGTTTTAAAACACCAGAAATACAAAATGAATAATCAGCATTTGTAATCGGAAGGTATTTGACAACTACAGTTAAATGCTCTGTTGGTACCAGGGTGAAAATGAGTTTACTGAAACTGTTTATTCCCTCCCATCCCAATTAAGTCGTCTTGACTCCTTAAAACTACTGTTGAAGGCGAGCAGCAGCAAATGTAGATGCAAAAAAAATGTGCTAAGTACAAATAAGAACAGTAATGAAAAATGGGTGATAACGACAATAATGAGTAACATCTGGAATATGGACTTCCCAGCGCAAGAAAAACATGGTCCAGCACAGGGCTCCAAGTATGATTAAGGGACTCGCACATCTCGTACAAAGAGAAGCTGAGAGCTGGGACTCTTTAGCCTGGAAGAGAAAAGGCTCAGGGGGATCTTATCAATGCGTACAAATGTCTGATGGGAAGATGTAAAAATGATGGAGCCAGGCTCTTCTCAGTGGTGCACAGTGACAGGACAAGAGGCAGTGGGCACAAACTGAAACATGAGAAATTCCATTTAAACATAAGAAAACACTTTTTTTTTTTCTTTTTCCTGTGAGGGTGATTGAACGCTGGAGCAGGTTGCCCAGAGAGGTTTTAGAATCTCTGTCCTTGGAGATATTCAAAACTTGACTGTACAAGGGCTTGAGTAACCTGCTCTAGTTGAACGGACTTGAGCAGGGGATTAGGACTAGACAGTTTCCAGAGATCCCTTCCAACCCCAACTATGCTGTGATTCTGTAATTTTTAGTCTGTATCTTCAGCTATGCTGCCTTCAACAACTGTGAAGGAAAGAGGAGGATCTCCTGGCTAGGAACGCGTGCTTATGTGGAAAGCAAATGGAGCAAGGCTTTCAGATTACACCTTGAGAGAAAGCTTATGATAGCACTGTTAAGCATTTGCTCTAATGAATTTCAATTCGAAAATGGAATATATAGTGCTGGAGTGTTTCCTTAGAGATTCTCTCTAGTGGTGTATAAGCTTATTCAGTGCTAAAACAGGAATATCTGGAATGGAGGTACAGACTGCTATAAGACTCTATAATTGCGTTGTTTCTCTTACTGTGGTGGACAGTAAGACATGGAGTTAACTGCCTTACTGATATTTTCCTATACTTTCAAATTTTTACAATTTGAAAAATCAAATTTACCAGAAGTATGCTTTTAAGAATGTAACACTCCCACTTGTATCAAATTTGAGTACCATCTCCAATGTGTAATGTGTTGCCGTATTTTATGATCTTTGAAAATAAATTCTGGTCTCGTTCTGACAAATATTAAGAAAATTAAATTTTCTGCTTGCATAAAAGGAGGTGGGGGAATTCGTTTTTCTTGCTCGTTAAAATGACAAACTCTTCAGTCTGTTTTGAACCAGAGTAGACTAGAGTTTGGGTGAGAACCTGCGACCTAACATTGTTGTATTTTCTTTTGTTTTAGAATGAGTCCACTGGGGTAAAAAGAAGTGTTTATTTGGCACTTAAGTTAGTGCCAAAAAACAAAGCCGAAAAACAAATTAACGTGAAACTAGCATGCTGGTAGCTCTGCAACAAACTTCCTTAACTTCAGCTCTAGACATAAATTGGGTCTGTCCTCCCTTGGATAAACCCATCTTCTCTTCTGATAGTTTAAAGGAACTGCCTATAATGAATGAAAACCTTTACCTCTTATTGAAAATAACAATCAAAATTTCATATGAAAAAATGGAGTAGAGATATACTGGTATGTTTAATGACTTAGGTATGCACATACATAAATGTGATGGCACTATATTGGAAGAAATAAACTGTATATGGAATATTAGTGTTTTTCTTTACTCACTTTGTGAGCTTGCTTTCTCTAGTATATCAAAGAGAATAATTTTGATAGAAATTCTTAGTTCATTAAGAGTTTTTTCTTGAGCCTGTCCTTAGAGTTTGGTTTTTATTGTATACTTTTTTTTTCCCCTGCTAAGCCTGATTTAATAAAGTTAGTTTTGTAGTTCAGTTAATTTTCCTAGCAGAAGTCGTCTTCATAGCTGTTTTTGCCTCAATAGATACTCCTTATAGGTGCAGGTATACATAGGAGTGGATACATAGGAATGGAACTTACTTGTGGCCCACAAAAGTGACCCTGATAATAGACTGTGTCTTATAATGGATACTGAATTGTCATACTGTAATGTTTGTATGTGCATGTTTTTGTTGTCTGTGGTGCTTCCGCTTTTTAAACGGAAAGCTCTGTGTAACAACATGTCATTACAGATGTTCAATGAATCTAATAATTTCAGAGACTGGCGACTAAGGTCGGGCATGAACAAACTTTTCTGCCAGTAGTTTATTTTTCTACATGCAAATTGAAAGGAAAAAGAGCTGGAATTTTGGGAGATCTTGGACGTGCCACGGTGTGACTTTGGATAGGGTGCTAGTTTCTCTTACTCCTGCCCTGCTTTACAGGGAAGCTATAGGTGAACCAATAACCTGAAGTAGTAAGTGTCTGCTAGTTCTGGAAAAAATAGCAGTCTTCTACTACCGTTACTGAAACATGAGGACATCTCCAGACCTCACCGTAGAGAGGAACCAAGTTAAAATCTGTTTTGAAATGGTTCCGAATGTCATTTGTGTACTGAATTCAGGAACAACTTGTTTTCAGAAATCTTCCTGCCAAATCTGTGGAGGAGGCATTACGTCACCGACAAGAATATGATGAAATGGTGGCAGAGGCCAAAAAACGAGGTATGTTAGCTACCAAAAAATCTTTTTTTTTTTTTTTTTTTAAATAGTTAGAAAGTAATTTATGGCTTATAGGCTAGTCTTTATGCTAAAAACAACCTTGTTTGGTATTTACCTTTCTCTGGTACATGAGTGCACACACTTTAAAACCAGAACTCTCTTCTCAGATTGTTTCCTTACTCCATGACCATAAACATAACTGGATTCAGAAGTCAGTTTAACTTTTTTCTATAATTTTTAAATAGAAACTTGGGAGGTTTTAACTACTTATATAATGTGATCAGCGGGAAACTATCAAGATGCTCAGACTTTTCTTTAGCAGCCTTACTGCAGTTGCTGCTAAAACTGTAATACGGTTGACTTCTTAAACATTTTTTTCCAGGAAATTGTGATCAATTTCAATATGAAGAGAGTTGAAAACTTACTTTTTTCTGACCATCTGTACCTATGTGAACTATCTGTACCTACTCCCACTAGTCTGGTTTTTAAATTAAACAGCTGTAGCATGTGGTACTGTGTCAATCTGAATAGTTTATTGATGAAAATTAGCAATGACTGTTATAAGGACTTCTGTAGGGTCCATTTCACATCTAGTTTTCAGGGAACAAGCTATTTTAAGAATTTAAGCTGCATATTTTACTTGAGCTGTTGTCACTCAGATCTAAGCTTCAGAAGTGATCAAACCTCTGTATGGATCTAGGTAATCTTATTCTGAAAGGCAGAAATCCAAGGCACTTCAGAACTCGTTTTGCTCTTCTCTCGTGGTGCGCGTCTTGTTAGGTGTGATCTGTGGGCCACTTCCTATAGCAGCATCTTTCCTGAAGGGTCAGCCATGTACAGTTTTATGTTTTAGTACGTGTGCCCTAGTATTCATTAAATTACGGAAGCTCTGTGAGCAGCAGTTTAAGACTTAACTGTCAGTAAACTAGTCAGTTTACTGAGCCACATTAGTTTACTGGGGATAGAAGTTTACTGTGTTGGTATGTTTAATGCAGCTGAGGTAGAGCCACTTAAAAAGGGCACATCTTGCAGTTTCACAGCAGTTTTTGATGCTGTTAAGGTAGCAGGTCCATTTTTGCTATTAGCCATTTTAATAAGAGGGATTTAGAAATGATCCATTTTAGCATAAGGCAAAATAACTCTTGCTTTTTCTCTTGTTCAGGAATACTGGTGACTTTGCCTTAGATCTTTAGGTCTTTTTTCCAAAAACGAAATATGCAGATGTGTAATACTTTTTGGTGGCGCTTTCAGTAAACTTTAAATTTGAGAATGGATCTAAAACTGTGCTTTTGAACAGTATAGTTATTGCTAATAGTCTAAATGTGGAAGTAACCGTGTACTGCGTAGGACATGGTATCAAATTCTCTGCAGGAAGAACAATGCTGCTGGTAGACTTGTTTTATTAGTCCTTCTACATGTTGCAGAAGAAAAGTGCTACTAGTTCTCCAATAGGATTTCTCCTGTTCCAACTGCTTTCTATTTAATTAACTTAAAATAGTCTCTAATCTTTGAATAATGATCCTTAAATAGGTTTCTCTGGAGATGAGTTAAAATAAACCAAACACTTTTTGAGACCGGTAATTTGACGGCATGTAGAAGTTGCAAGAGAGCTTCACTTGCATTTTTATGTTCTTTAGTGACATCCTTCAGGTGTTAGAGATCAGTATATTTCTGAGGAAAAGCTCGCTGTAATGTTCAGTTTCTGATAAACTGATCTATTGGTAGCTGAAAGGGCTGATCTTACTCTAGCATTTAAAGCTCAAATTTTTTGAAAGGTAGTGGAGCACATTATGTGAATGCTTTGATCTGAAGGTACATGTCTCTTATAAGGAGGAATTAAATAGTATATTTAAGAACAGTACTCTGTCCTTGTGTAGAAAGGTACCCACTGCCTATGCACTAATAGGAATCTTTCTGTTTTGGACTAACTCGGCGCTTTCTCACCGAATAGATCTACCCACTGGAGACTAACCTCATATTTAGCAATGGAAGCAGGATACAAACTGGGCATATCTGGCGTAGAAATAGCTTATCTACAACCGATATGGAGCTTGGTATTGCTCTCCCCCTTTTCCCTGCCATCACTCCTCAGAGTAGGACATAACTACTGTTTTTATCTTGTCTGATTTTCTACAAAATTAATTTGATATTTGCTTACAATCGATAGAAACAGCTAGTAAAGGATAGCTCGCAGAACTGTAATTTACCCTGATTCTTCAGATGTCATCTAAATAATTAGGCAAACTATTAGATAAATAATTCAACTGTTAAATACACTAACACAGAATTGTTAATATTACATTTAACAGAAATTAAAGAAGCACATAAAAGGAAAAAAATAATGAGAGAGCGTTTCAAGCAAGAAGAGAATATCGCTAGTGCTATGGTGATTTGGGTCAATGAAATACTACCTAACTGGGAAGGCATGTAAGTAAAGTTATGTTGTATAAATGAGGCACTCACGGCTTGTGTTCCTCCTCTGAAAACAGAGGAACCACGTACCTTGTTTTCCTCTTTCTCTTTTGTCAAGAAGTTCGTTGTAGTGACATCATATTATAGCGTGGCAGAGCAACATGAAATCCACTCTCTGAATGTTCTGCTGTGCGCCCTCACCCCCCCGTGTGGGTGGGTGGTGGGTGCCTTTCCACCCCCCAGGGCTTTAACAGAGGCACAGATCCTTACATTTTTATTTGAAAAAGAGTGTGTTATCTTGCTTGTAAAGTTGCTCGATGAATTTGGGAAAACAAGATTTGGAATGTATGGTTTTTGGGTTTTTTTCCCCCTCCCTGCTTCCCTGTCCTAGGCGAGCTACCCGAAGAGTTCGAGAACTGTGGTGGCAGGGATTACCTCCAAGCGTACGTGGGAAGGTTTGGAGTCTAGCTGTGGGAAACGAATTGAATATCACTCCTGGTATGCCTTAACAGATAATACTTTAATGCAAAATTAAGTTGATTATTTTCAAAGAAAAAACAGAACTTAATTAGGACATATTTGCTTTTAAAATAACTATATTTCACAACCTGGGAAGCACGCATGTGAGTGTTTTGTCTTATTTTTGTGTTTTGGGGGGGGTGGGAGGGTTGAGTTTTGTAGCAATGAAACAGGCATAGCCTGTAAAGTTATGGAAGTAGGCTTCAAAACCTGCTTATGGGGAAAAAAAAATGCTTAGTTGTCTTAGAGTTTAAAGGTCTGGTTCCTAAGACAAAACTTGCTGTTTAAAATTGAGAGTTTTGAACAATGATTTAGGGGAGGGGGAAGGAGTTGCTTTAATATTTCATGATTCTGATGAGCTGGAAGTGCTTCTTCTAACTCATTCAAAAAAAGAATAAAAATACAAATGATTTAAGATGTGATTGTCAAGATCTAATTTTTTTTCCTCTCGTAATTTGAATTTTCACCCCAGAAGAAAGCGTAATATAGTGCATAATAGGTAACTCTATAGGTACTCCAGTGGTTAGTAGTAACCTTAAAAATAGATTTTTTTTTTCTTTTTTGGTCCACTTGTAAGATGAAACCAAGCAACAACAACAAAGCTAAGCATATACCTTCTGTGCTTTAATTTTGGAGGGGCACTGTTGTTACTCATATCATCCTGTCTTTTTGCAGAACTGTATGAAATCTTCTTATCTAGGGCTAAGGAACGATGGAAAAGCTTCAGTGAGACTAGTTCAGAGAATGACATAGAAGGTAAGGTCTTCTGAATCCTAGATGTCTTCCTGTCACCCTATTTTTACCTATTTGTTTTTACAACTCCACAAAAATCTCTCAAGTTCAGCTGTAACGCAATGATAGGAATATTTATTCAAAGTTACCTGGGTGAGCTCCTCCTTAAATGTTTGCTTTTTTTTTTTTTTAAATAACAAGTCAGTGAGAGGCTCAACAATATTTGCCAGTCAGTAAAGATGCATTAAAATACTGCATGTGCTAATTAACTTTCAAATGAATGTTTTCTTCTGGAATCCTGAAATTCCAGCTCTGCACCGTCTTGAAAATTTTAGATAAAACACAAAAAGAAATGAACAAAATTGGTTGAAATGAGCTGCCAAATTAGCCAGACTGGGACTGAAGAAAAGAACAAAAAGAAAAAAACTAAATTCTAGCATGTTCATTTGCTTAGCCCTGCTTAGATTATTATGTTGGCATCTAGATCGCTTTCTGCAGAGATATCCCTTCCACGATTTTGGAAGAGCAAACAATTATTTTTGATTGTGGAACTGAAAGGTGAGGAGCATGTAATTCATTACATGTTTTGAATCCCTTTTGGGTTTCTTTAGTTACTACCCAGACTGCCTTTTCTCCCAAATCTATTAAATGAAAATGTTACCACACTTGCATCTGTACATACGATGGAGTTTTATCACTGGCATATTGTTGTTTCCTGTGAGTGTTCTTTCAGTTAAAAATAGCATCAATCATGTGCTTTAATAGTGGATATATCCTTGTCACCAGTACTACTGACTGCTCATGCTGTTAACGCTTTCTTGATTGCTTAGCTTTTTTATGGCACTGTCTTATGTGACCTTGTCAGTACCAGCTGCCATGAGATAACTGTTTTTTTTGAGTAGTCTCTTTGGGGAAAGAAAATGTCATTGTAATGCGAGAAATACTTTTGTTTGCCTTCCCTCATGGCCAGTCCTGATCTACTGTCTGCTTTTACAGTGAAGTATTTGTCTTCCTTAGACTGCTTCTGTGACTCATCTGAGACAAACTGTAAAGACTTGTGCATGTACACGACTGTATGCTTATCCCTGGAAAACGCATTTGGAATGTCCCTTGGTTTGTGTGTGTAGTGGGGAGGGTTTTTTTGTGTGTGTATTTTTTGTGAGGGAAGGAGACAGAGTTGGCGGGGGAAGCTTAGGTAGCTTATTTCAGAAAGGGGGTGGTAGTTCTGGATGAGAATGAAGGGGAGGAGGCACCATTTTTTGTCAAATATTTTAGGAAATAAAATTTTAAGGGAAAATTGAGACCAACGTGCTCTGGATAAAGAACAAGCCAGCCTACTGTTTTTATTCAGAATCTTTGGTAGCAAAGTCCAAAAAATCAATTGCTTCTGCCTTCTATAATATATTTGAGTAGCTCTAAGTTTATTTTTCTGTCCAAATATCTTGAACGCTTTTGTTTGGCAGATAAAGATTAAGCATAGAAAGTACCTTTTTGTGCCTTGGAGTGAAGAATTTGGTTGGTCAAAAGATGTTATCTGCTAGATGTGCTCAGAAGACCTGCAGTGACTGGCTCTAGTTCACTGAAATACATTTTTTGCATAAATCCAGAGTTTCTTGTGCTCTGTGTTGTAGCTTTCTATTTTCCTTGGGCCACATCATGATTAAAGAGATGCTACCAAAATGAACATGATTCTGATGATACCCATCCCTTTGAAAGAAAAGGGATGGATTAAGCAGCAGTTCTTGAACTCTTTATTTTAAATTGTAACTCTTTATTTTAAATTTATTTTAAATTGTGCCTTCTTTCTCACCCCAAAATTTTCCTGTTATGGCCTGCAGTAAGTCCCTGCTCCTCCTGACTCCTCCTGTGACTTTTAGATTTAGAGGGGCTAGAAAAACATACTGCTTTCCAGGTGTCAGCAAAGCTGATCCTTTGAAGCCTATTCATCAAATCCTGCAACCTTCAAGCTACCAGATGGTTCTTGGTTCCGCTGGTTTAAGCACTCAGTGTTTGGGACAAAAAGCTTTTGCCCCAAATGCCACATGTATTTTCTCCTCACTGTCACTACTATTTGCACTATCTCTCATCTAGAGGACAGGATATTGATGACTCAAAGGCCAGCTGAAATCCTTCAGGAGCTTCTTGCTGCCTACTTTCCTTCCTTTGATTTGAAGAATGCCAATCCTAAGGATGCAAAGAACTTGTTTGGGCCAAGTAGAGAGCTAATGAGAGCTCAGAAGTAATGTAACTTCTGCAGGGTATACCTGGTAAATTCCAGAAATTTAGGTGAAGTATCAACTGCACGCTTTTGGGTTACCTTCAGTAAAACTGGAGCATGGTGGAACATGATACAAGCACAGGATGTACCTGCCTGACTTTGCAGGTGGAGGAGTGTTGTTTTGCTTGAAATAAGGACTAATAATCCATCTCTTTTTTCCTCCCCCAGTATATAGAAAATATTGTAATGCTATTGGTTGAAATGAGCCACCAAATTAGTCAGATTAGGAATGAAAAATTACAGTAAGGTGAGATCTTGCAGGACCGTGTTTACATCAAGAGCAGTAATGTCACTCTGTTCTTACAGACTTAGGCAGAGTAACTGTTCTTACACAGTTACGGAGGTCGCGGTAGAAAATAAGGACAGAAAACAGTTTTGATGGCTGGGCAGAGTTGAAGTGCTAGTGAATACAGTGGCGGTATGGGCCTGGATAGTGTTATATAGAAGTAAAAGGTAACATTTTAAATCTGAATGGTGTAAAGCTGTGTGACTTGAAGAGGAGTAGGAGGAGGCAGCAATTACTGATTGCTTCTTTCACTTTCTGCAGTAGGTGGTATACACCTGGTATCAGTGGACAGTAATTAACGTAGGTCTTAAACTGCAGCAGCGTAGAAATATACTCGAAGAACAAGAACTAAGTAACTTCTTTTTCTTAAGAGTCTCTATGTGTGCCTATGGCAGACTTATTCTGAAGTCTGTGGAATTACCTATCAGTGGTGTTTTTGTTTGCAGATGCGGGAGCATCTGTTGCTGATCGTGAGGCCAGCCTGGAGCTAATTAAGTTGGACATATCACGCACATTTCCATCCCTGTATATTTTCCAGAAGGTGAGAATTTTGATGACTTTAAACTTCTGAATACGTAAACAAGTAAGTGTGGCTGGCTAAATGCCAAATACTTGTAGAAGCTGTTTGTTTAAAACTAAATGACTAAAGTAAAATTAGTTGGTTCCCACATACAACAGCAAGTACCCTTTTGTTTTGTTCGACAGGTAAGGACACTTACTAGGATAAAGTTGTCTTCCTCTCTGGGCAGTTGTAAATATGAGGGGCTACAAGGCTTTTTCTCCTGGAGAAAATGCATGCAGTTCCTATTAATGTTTATGAAGTTTACCAGTGAGGATATTCTCATTATTTCTACAGAAATCTTAATGTATTTTAGTACACATTTTAGTTTTTAAGAACTTTATATATGCATGTACACATAATTAGACATAAAGTCACTTGCATTACTGTAATACAATAACTTGTGTTAAGAGTTCAAACATCCAGTGTCCCTTAAAGGGGAAAAAAACAACCCTATGTCTGCAACAGATATCCTCAGTTGCCATTATATACTAATTTCCAGGGAATTACTTCATATTGAATTATTGTTCTGTTTTCCTTTTAATATCTTAACAGCATAAAAGGTAATGCTTACAGTAAAAGAGGTATTTTTCAGGATGTAAACAGAGCCATAATTCCCTGTCACTTCTGCATCTTTAAATAACTGGTTTGTTACCTACCTAAACTTATACAGCAGTTCTGAAAAGTTCTCTTTTCTTTTTCTCCCCCCACCCCCCCCCTTCCTCCCCTTGCATTAGGGTGGTCCCTATCATGATCTCCTGCATAGTGTTTTAGGAGCATATACATGTTACAGACCAGATGTGGGATATGTAAGTATTTGTGGTAAAAAAAAAAAAAATCTATAGCATAGCACAGATGCTCAAAAGCCATATATCAGAGTGTACTAGAGAATGAGATTATCTAAACTTTATGCTGCTAGCACGTCAAAACAAGTTTAACTTTAGTACCTACCCATTTTATAGGAGTTACAGTTATGGTAATTCTTAAAGATAATTAAATAGCTGCAAACTTACTGAGTGTTAATACTGAGTGTACTTTCTGGCTTGTTCTGGAAGTTTTTTTTTGAACTGATATGAGGTAGACCCAGAGTAATTACAGAGGAAACTGCCAGCAGACTTCCAGTAAGCTCTCACACTGTTCTAGCCTAGTGTTGCTCCCACTGCTGTCATTTCCGTGGTGAGACTCTCTGCTTCACTTGCTTCACATCTTAGAATCCAGATACTCTATATTGGTGCTTTGATATTGAAGGTTAATCAGCTTATCTGAGTTCAGTGACGATAAGATTGCTGGCAGCAGAAACCTTAATATGTAAGGTGTCAAGTGACAGAAGCAGTTAAATGACAACCAGATGCTGACTTTTCTTGTTGTTCCTTCTGAAGCTAGGAAAGCCTTTCAAAAGCTTTTGAATCACTTTTAAAACTCTTCAAGTACTTTAGTCCAAAAGATTGATCCGTGAGACAAAGCATTAACTACCACAGGGTGTGTTTTCTCTCCAAGTCAGACGTGCTTAGGACTGTGCATCAATGTCTAATTGGCTTTTCCTTTTTAAATGTTGTTTTTCAACTCTGAATTCTGTCGTCTGTGACCTCATTTTTGGAGACCTTCCCATACCCTTTCAGTGAGATTACAAACTCCGCAGGTTTTGAGGCTGCTTGTTCCCAGGGTGGAGTTATAAAAGGCAAATAAGTGTTTTTCATGGAGAGGTGTCGTATTTTTCAGTAGAAATAGATGATACAACAATTACAGCTAGCCTATATATTTCTGACTGTACGCTTTTCTTAATGTTAGTTGGGCAGTAAAGGTAACGTGATTTTATTTCTATACTTCTCCATCCCACAAAAATGGAAAAGTGCTGGATTTTTTTTTGATGCGCATTTATGCTTTCTTCCTAGTTGGTTAAAAAACTGTGCTTTTTTTAAATGAGGAGCTGGTAGCATAAGTGCATAGAGACAGCAAAATAATCATTGCAGATGAAATTGGTAGAGCTATGTTTTAGAATAACAAGTATTCACATCATCAGTTAACTACAAGAGCAATATTCTTTACTTTCATTGGAGACTGAAGTTGCTGAGAGAAGGTAATGGTGGAAAAACGTAAAACTCGCATTGTAGCGAACTACTTAAAATAGTTTTATGTATGTGAACAAATAGTGTTTGGCGGCTGGGAAGATCTGTATTGACTGTTGTGAAAGAGAATTTTGTCTCAATTCCAGCATATTTGTCTGGGTCTAAAGTGTCCCATATGTGGCTCTCTTTCTCCATGTCTGCTTTTCCCTTAGCTTAACAATAAACTTAAGGCCAAGTTTTGTCTCCTTTGAGCTCTGCGTGCAGCCTGTGTGGTTTTAACTTTCTTGCATTCCAAGTCTCCGAGCACTTGTGCTTGTAAGACCTCCCAGAATTTTCATCGAGCATCTAAGACCTGTATCTGAAGAAACACTGAATTTCTTGTTGAAATCTAATTGACTGCATGCAAAAAAAAATTTGTCCCATGTTGTTCTGTGTTCATCTGGGAATGTTAGATAATGGTGTTTGATATATTGCTGATTGTAAATATTTGCACTTCGAAGATGTATGATGCGCTGAACCTACTTACCTATGTTTGCCTGATGCTTTTCCCCCCATTGAAGGTACAAGGGATGTCCTTCATTGCTGCTGTACTCATCCTCAATCTGGAAGAGGCAGATGCTTTCATTGCCTTTGCTAACCTTCTAAACAAGCCATGCCAACTGGCCTTTTTCCGTGTGGATCACAGCATGGTATGCACATAGTTTTCTGGTTTTAAAACTTTACTGTCTCTTGACCTGAAGCATATTTGAATTATTGGTGGCTTCCTTCCTTTCATTCTTTTGAATAATGGAGAACTGTAATCTGCAGTTACAAGACTGAGAGCACCTAATCTAGAGATTAGGTTCTAATCCATTGAACACATTCTACTTTTTTGACTTTCATCTAGAAACACTTAATCATAGTACTTAACTAAAAAGTCGCATCATGCTGTGTTGAGATCCTCAATCCTTGGTTGTTTTTATGTTGTTTTATAGCCCGTTCTCTTCAAGACTGCTTATGAGGCGCTTTATTGTCTCTACAGATGCTGAAATACTTTGCAGCCTTTGAAGTATTTTTTGAAGAAAATCTTCCTAAATTGTTTCTTCATTTCAAATCATACAGTCTTACTCCAGACATATATTTGATAGACTGGTGAGTTCAGAGAACATAGTATATCTAATCTTACAACTGTTGAAACACTTCCCATTTTTTGCTATAGGTTTTTCAGCAATAGAAATACAGCCTAAAAGCACTTGTCAAATGTAAGTGTACTTCAGCTTTCTAGGTCTTGTGAAATCCCTGTGACTTGCCTTATACAACTGCAGTTCCTCTGGCAGGATTGAAGCATTATGAACTGGGATTAGGAGAGATGTCTATTCAGATAGGAAATGAGTCATGAAGGACTTCTGTTAGGTCTATGTTGTTGTGGGTTACAGTCACTTATTTGTAATGTGAAGAGAGAACTGCAGTTATTTTATGACTGATCATAAGAGACTTGACATGAACATAATCTGTTACTGAAGAAAGTAAGGGGAAACTCTGAAAGGAATATAAAGTAGAGGCAAAATGAAATATAGCACCTGATTCAGGAAGGGATAAATTTGGAAATAAGATTACTGTTTTGAATTAATGAGTGCTCCAAAGCACAGTACTAAACTATATTGTGTACTACTAATGGAAGCCACTAATGCAAGCACCCTTCAAGTGCATGCAGCACTTCCAAATACTGAATGTTGTCTCGTGTGTAAATATATATACAAGCGCGCGTGTGTGTGTATAGGATTATTATATGAGCTAGATGTTTTTACTGGAGCAAACTGAATCGCATAGAATTAAATAATATAAAAATGCCAGGTCATCCCAGTGCTTAGGAGTGAAGAACTGCTACAAGATGTAGCTTATCAGCAAGAAAATAGCAGTGTTGACCCATGAGTAAGGTAGCCCTGAGAGTTTGGGGGGATCAGAAGAGGTGCATCTGTTGCAGAAATAGTGCTCTTGTGTAAAGCAATAGAATGTTCTGATTATCAGCAGTAAATTAAGATTATGACATTCCTGCACCTGTTCCAATAATGGTGTTGAGATAAAGAGCTCTCTTTATGAAGAGAATGCAGGAGGATTGTAGTAGTCTCAGTGGTTAGGAGTCTTCTGAGGTTCTAGAACTGCTTTCTAGTATGAATAATGGGGGAAATGGAATGCTATGCCTTGCATCAGTGGAACTGCTACAAATTTATGGAAGGGTTTATGCGGTATGGTGCATACAGCACATCTAATGAATGCTTTTAAAAATAAGCTTCATAATTTAAAAAACAAGTCCTATATAGAACAGAGAGTAGAAAGAGTGCCTGTCTTTAGATTTTGGTGATTTTTAACTTGGATGTAAACTTGAAATGTATTATGGAAATGTAGTTGCCAGATTCTCATTACTATGTTTGTGGGCTGTAGCCTACCACTCCAGCCTTCTACAGGGAAGATTTGAAACTTCAGGCTTAGTTTAAAAACCAAATGATGAATAGAGCTGTTCATAAACTACATGGCTTAAAAAAAAAAAAGGGGTTTAAGTATCACATTTTTGATCTTTATTGTATAAGCCCTTGTATATTGTGCCCTATGTATATTGTGCCCTATTTGAGCACAAAGATCCTTGTAACTTTTCTAGCTAGAGCTTCCTAGAGGAGGTTGATTTCAAATGGAGAATTTCCTGTAGCGTGAAAAGTTTCAGCAGAACTCTGATGTGAAGAGCTGGGGACTTGTATATCTTCGAAATAAAAAAAAAATACAAACACTTGAGAGAGAACTTGTCATCTGCTTGCTCTCAGCTAATCCAATTTAGATTTAAAGGAGGTGGTATTTTCATGTTTCTGAAATACATTAAAATTATACCTGTTCTTTTTTTTCCCCCTTAATGTAGGATTTTTACACTCTACAGCAAGTCACTACCACTTGATCTGGCCTGTCGTGTCTGGGATGTCTTCTGCAGAGATGGGGAAGAATTTTTGTTCAGGACGGGATTAGGAATCCTTCGATTATATGAAGATATTCTCCTACAGATGGACTTCATTCATATAGCCCAGTTTCTAACAAAACTTCCAGAAGACATTACATCAGAAAAGCTTTTTAGCTGTATTGCAGCTATTCAGATGCAGAATAGTAACAAGAAATGGGCACAGGTGAGTTTTCGGTTATAAATCTCAGAACACTACGGGGGGCACTTCCCTTAATGACTACTTTATGCTGCGCGTCTGACTTCAGAGTGAGGGTTAATACTGTAGTTGAGGCCTCACCTCTGACATGAGATGCATCTTGAATTTGAAGAGAAGCTCAGATTTTGTTGGTGATTACTCCTTCCCCTCCTCTTTTTGGAAGACAAATTCAGCACTGAAACTTGCTTATGTGGGAAGCGATAAAACAGTTACTGAAGAATCCCTAGTTTCTAGTGCAGACTTACATGCCAGGCAAGAGGAAGAGAAAGATGAACACTTTAAACAAAAGTCTACCTGAGACTGACCAAAATGCAGAGCCTAAGGTTGCGTAGACCCATTTGAACAAAACTTCTGTTCATACAATCTTATGTTGTGGCTGTCGACATAATTTTCCCACCTCTGTCCCCCGTATTGGAATTAATCTAATGCTGATGGGAAAATACCTGTATAACAAAGGACCAGAATTGTTGCAGATGAAACCCTCATCAAGTTAAAAGGGCAAAATAGCCTGAGATCAGTTCTGCATTGGAATGTTTCCTAAGATGGAGGAAAACTTCTGTGACCGGGACTGATAAGGGTGTTAATTGACTCTTCCTCTCTAGTGTCCTATTTCTGAATGTAGTCTCTGTGCTGGTACTGTGACTGTTAATCTCGATCTGTTTTTATAAGACTAATCTGTTTATATTCATTAAATAATTTACATTTTCAGGTGTTTGCCTCACTAATGAAGGACAACAAAGAAGGGGACAAGAACCATAGCCCAGCACTGAAAAGCCAGTCGTCATAATGTAGAGGTCAATTGAAAATGTGGGAAACCACTTGAAAAAGGAGTTTTTGCATCAAATCTGTGTGGGAAGCCACTGTAGAAAATGGTGCAAGAAATGAGAGAGACAGTTTAGCTCTCATTGAAGTAATGAACTGATGAAATCTTCAGCCTTTTGCCAGTATTAGCTCTTTGTGGAAAGATTTGTTTTCACACAGCATACTAAAACCTATGAAACTGAGAAACGAGGAGTTCATATTTAATATTTTAAAAGAGTCAGCTCAATGCAATAAACATTTGTAATAACTTCTGTTGGTACTTTAAAAATTTTTTGAGGCATAACTTTTTACAAATACCACAAAGGCACTTTTTGAGAGGGGTGAGGAAAATGCTAAATCTTAAGGCCCCAAAACTGCTATCCAGACCAAATGCTTTGGGTACAAATATTACCTCCAAAATTAACTATTTAAAAGTATTGAGGACCAAATAAGGTTGTTTGGTATGCGTATGCCAGGTGGGTAAGATTTGGGAAGGGGTATTGTTATTTACTTGCTTTTCAGTTACAGCTTCAGTCTGGGCAAATATAATTAACTCGAAGTGTGGAAGTATTGTGTCCAAACCTGTTACAACAGAAAATTTTTTTTTGAAATTTAAAAAGCGATAAGATCAGGACTGTTCTCAGTGTGTACAGCTTTCAAAATGAATGGCGCTGAGCCTTTGTTTTGGTGTATTAGTTGTGCAGCTTATTAAAAATGGTGTGGGTATTCTGTGAATGGGTTTTGCCACCAGAAGTTTTATTTCATTAAGCCATTCCCAACTAAGATACGCTTGTATGTAATGGTAAACACTAGAAATTGATAAAGCTATCTACAGACTTTGTATTGTCAAGGGAGCATCCACCTTTAACACTTCAGAATAGTGCAGTTTTTTTAAACTATATTTTATTAGTGTGCAATACTGAAATGCAAAAAGCATATGGTTTAATGATACTTAATTCTTTTAGCAACTTTTAACGGTGAGAAAATAATGTCATACAGTACATGTCACAGCAGATGTTTTCAACATTTCCTGTTCTCAAAGATCCACCGTACAACTCTCGATTGTGGAGGTTGGGAATTTAAAATGGATAGCACTGCAGGTGAGGAGCACTTGCACTCTCTTGGTCCATTTTTGCTAATATTTAATGTAAATAGGTTCCTTACATGTGGGTTTTTGTAACTGGTCCCTCTGTGGAAATCAAGTCAGAATTATCATTGCATATTTTTAAGTGCAGGAGGTTTTCAGCTGTCTGGTGTTTAAAAGCAGAGTCTATGTAACTTGGGGTAAAGATTTAATTAGTGTGGTGTAACTTACGTTGCTATCTGGTTCAAAACTACATATATATTACTCATAACATTACAATTTGAAACTTAAATGTCAAATTTTTCTTAACTTATGTATTCACTACTTTAATTGGATTCAATTTGTCTTATATTTTTGTGTTAACTTGTACAGTTTTCTTACTTTTCAAGTATAAATCTCTGTATATAACTGTAAATAGAAGGATCAAGCCTTCCTTTAAGACCACTAGTAACAATTCCTGTGTAAATAAAACTTATAGCAGAAATATTGTGTTGTTCTTTTCAAGGCTGTTGTTTGCCCAAAAGAAAAAATAATAACACTTGCCAAGTAATATATGAATATACAGTAGGAAAAGGTTGGTGTGTGGTTTTTTTTCTCTTTTTTTTTTTTAAAAAAAAAGAACGGTTAAGGACGTAGCAGCGTTGCATTCAGCACTGCTGCCCTAACCAACTTGATGGCTGAACGTGTTATTTTGTTGCGGGGGGGAAGAGGGGGAATGCTTGGGATGAGGAGATTGCCTTAACTGCGAACGCGGTGGTAGTAGGTACTAACGCCCTTCCCCCCCCC